TCCTGGTACTCCTGGAGTAAATGAATTCACAAATTCGTTTAATCGAATACGTTTAATCGAATACTTTATAAACAATTCTTTCTATATACTCGATAGACCTGAATCCTCAATTTCATGGACTGCGTCTGCGAACGTCTGAGTGTCGCGCTAGAAGGTTGCCTCACCCTCGTAGGTTTGCCAAGGTTCGAGCTTCCTGTGCTACTTGCAGAAGACGAACTCGAAGAAGATACGGAAGACACTCCTGGGAAATTGAAATAACGCGAAAATCGTTTAGCGAAAGAATATCCTTGCTTCTTTTTCTATCGGCGATTCAATCCCCCTTTAGCCGATGTAGCCTACACTCGGATCGAGCGAATATACCAACCGGAAATAGAGGACGAGCCGCTGGCCATGGAGTATAGGGAGGCGGATGCGGGTACATTTCCTGCGACCCATCTTCCTCCAGGTCCAGGCACCCCTACAGGCACACCAGTGCCCATATTATACTCTGACGCGCTCTGTGGCAGTACCCAGGACTTTCCAGACATCGAGTACTGCGAAACAGAAACGTTTCACCGTAGAATATCGGAGGGAAAACGTACAGATTCATCGATTCGTTTTTAGACAAGATGCCTCTCTCTCCCTCGTCACACAAAAAGCTACGCGAAATTGCTTTGATGGGTTTGATCGAACGGGGCGAAAACGTCGGTGAAGCGAGGGCTGAACGAATTATTCACGGGTCGTGTGTCGTCTACGTAGCTGAAATCTCGTGAAATTAATTGCCGGTCCAGGCGATATTTATTAAAACCGTTCTCCCACAGAAAGGGAGGGAGGGAACATTTGGACGGTCACACGTCGCGGCGTAACGTTACGCGAGCTCGTCTATTCGAGGCGAGACGAGTGGCTCCTCGAGTCCGCCCCAATTAACGACAATTTTCCAGCGGTGCAAACGAATCGAGGAATACCACGTTACTCTACGCGCTTCAAGAAGCGTGGAGATTCTCGAAACGCGAAGGTACCTATTAAATCTCTCCCTGTGTCGAAGTGGGGAGAGACACGGTCGCTTCGTTGGGTACTTACGTCTCGAGGGATGAGGGTTTGTTTCAGACGAAGGATTTTCGCCCTGCATATCACGCATCTCAGAGGCAACAGCCTCTGCGAGACCGCCATTTGTATCGTTTTGACGAAGCAACGTCTGCAACATCCCAGGAATAAAATACAACGTAGGCAAGAGGAAAATTGGTTTTCTTGCTGGGAAAATTGATAGATTACCTGCAAACCACTCGATGACCACACGGAGCCGTCTGCATGGTTGCTCTGGCGTTCACGCAGATCACGCACTGCGAGAAGGAACGAGGATTTAATTAGAATCGAATCACGGCGAGACGGTGAAGAGAGCATTAATCTAATCGTTTCAGACTGAAGATAAAAGGCAAAATCCAATAAAGTCCCTTCTGGGAGTTCCTGGTCGGTCAGCAGAAATCTTCGACGATTAACCGGATGAGAGTGTTCGTCAAAGGAGGCAGTTTACGTAAGGATCAGGATTTACAGGGGGATTTATAAAGAACGAAAAAGAGCTCACTTTTACAAATTCATTTATTTCAATTCCTTGTACTTAAACTACGAACCTTGACCATTTCTACGCTATCTCTCCGCAAATTTTACAGCTATAATATGGTATCTACAGCTCGGTTTATCCATAGTTCTCTGCGTGAAAAATCAAATAATTCACTCTGGTTGCCTTCACTGTTAATTAATACAATTCTTTTACTCATTCCTCAACGTACCCATCTGTTTGCGCATGTTACCCATGGCACTTGCCGCGTTACTCGCCAGATTTTTCATACCGTTAGCCATGGCATCAGCCGCGCCAGCAGCCGCGCCAACCATGGCATCAGCCGCGCCACCCATGGCACCACCCATGGCACCACCCATGGAACTACCCATACCGCCACCCATGCCACCACCGCCAGGTGGTCCCTGTCCTCCTGGAGGAGGCGCAGGCATGTGTGCAGCCCTCTTGCTCCTCATAGTACTCGTAAATCCAGCAGAAGAGGACATTTCCATCGGTGGTCTGTGGTCTAGCATTGGTGGTGGTTCACAGGGAAATTGATCGTTTGGATCGCATGGCAGCGGCGGTCGTTCATTCTGTGGACTGCGTTTCTCTCGAAGGTTCTCATGGGAGGAACTGAACTCTGACGGAGCACCGAGGACCTCGAATGAAATTTGGGTATATTTTTGACGATTTGTTATTTTTAATTGTACAGGTTGAATAGAAGGCAGGATGAATGGCAAAGATCGCTTACAGACAGTCCAAACAGGCAGATCACGCTGACGACGACGACGACGAGCAGGCACTTCATGATCGCTGATGCTACGACACTCGACACTGTTTCCCCTGGTTTTCGCCCGGGGGAATAAATAGTCGCGACGTGATTACGCCGGAGAGAGAGAAAAAATGTATATATATACACAGGAGGGGAGAAGATATTGCACGGTGGATCGCACGCGAAAAGGAGCCAGCTGAAAAGGAAATGATCGTCGGGCGTCATTATCGGCCCCGCTCTCCATTGTCGCTCGTTATCCTCCGGCTTACGACGATTTAATGTATTTTTCTTCTTTTTTTTTTTATCTCCCTTTGTCACGACCGTCGGGCCGGAAATGACGGATATTTTAGGAAAAACAACGGAGACACACGGAGGAGAGTTACGTATGTCTCTTCCACGATCGTTTATCTAACGCCAGTTTGATAATTACGATGCTTATCTCTTCAGGAAACAAATTCACATCGGCCACGGACAATCATTTTCTTCGTCAATTTTCATATTACATAATCGCTCGAGTTTCCACGCGACCGTGTCTCTCGTCTGTTTTGATCGTTTTTTAAATAGAGAAGGAGACCACGTCGCTGTTAAATCGCCTTATTTTTCCTCCTATAATTTGCTGAAATTCATAAACATAGGACGTGTCGTGTATAATTATCGCGCGGTGTCGATTCGATCCTCGAGGCGTTATTCTCGCATGCCCCTACTCGTCTACGTTAACCAAATGAATTATCGACTTGATCGAAATATTAATAGTGGAGGGTGGACGAGCGATGTCAGGAGTCGCAGGCACACTTTGTCAGGCCCGTTAATCGACTTTCCCGGCCCATTGGCTGGTCTATTCGCACGGAAATTGCAACTTTTCCGGACCAACGGGTGTCTTTCGCGCGGCATTAGAGCCTTTCCCTCTCAATGTACTAACCACGTCCGTTTAACCGACGAAAATTCCCCTCTTGCAAATCCTCCGTTCACGTGTGTCTATGTACACATATGTATGAGCGTATTAATTCCTTTTCTGGGTCACTGTACCCGCTCGATTTTCCCCTTTTTTAACCCGTACACACCCGGATTCGTAGCCGCGAAAATAATCCACCGGTGTCTAAAATAACCGTCGATCGGTTTTTTCATCCAACAGGGTTGTTTCCTCCTCGAGACGGATTTTTCACTTTTGCTCTCAACTTTCCTCCCCTATTCGTCACCGGTGGCAAATTACCGAGTGCCTCTCCGTCCGTCCGCGAAAAACACTTCGGCGTTCTTGCTGGAAAAACTGGACGGAGGAGAAAGAAGAGGAGAAAAAATTGAAATCCTATTATCCATCCGTAGATTGATCCTTTGAGAAATTTCTCGCGGAGGTCAAAAGAGGAGACGCCTTTTTCCTTTCTTTCTTTCTATTACGTTCCTCTCGGCGAAGGGACTTGGATAAATCTCATTCCTACGCCAATCGGCGGTCCTCCTTCTGGTGAAATTACGAATTAGGCTTGATTACGCCTTGTCCCCGGCAGCAAGGGAGAAAGTAACGAGGTTACCCCGGAGGAATCCTCGAGGAGACGAGGATAGAGGGGGGTTGGAAAATGCAGCTGACCTTATCAGCAACGTGGGACCGACTCAGGGACTCCCCTGTAGAGTCTCTTCCCGGGGTGTTAATTGAATCGTAGGTTTCCGCGGGAAATTTCTTTCATCCTGCGGCGGGATTAAGTGGGAATCTCCCACCTGCGGTTCGCCTTCGAGGGGAACACGCCTAAGCATCGAGTGCTGTGGTTTCTAGTTGATAGGAACAGGTTGAAACGAAAATGTTCGAGTTGTAATTCTTTCAACGATTTCGTTACCTTAGGTAGCTTCTAACGAGGAGTATAATCGTTTAAAATTATAGATGTAAATAACGTACATTAATATGACAAATGAAAAATAAGAGAATTTAATTATTCGTATTTAACGTACCTGCGTGAAGTAAATTGTTACGATATAAATTAATGAAATTCTTTGATTAACAGCGAATAGTTGTTTTTATTCAACGAATAAAACCGTTGTTACACTTGATTCACTTCAATTTATCAATACTTCCTCTGCGCTCTGTCTACGTTACTTTACGTAAATCAAATTTGTAAATTAAAAGAGAGAGTTCACTCACCTCGTCCTCCTGTGAAGAGGCCAGTTCCGGCTCATTCTTCTCCAGCTTGGTCAACAGCTTGTCCTGCGAAAGGGAATAAAGCATGTTTTATCAGGAAATTCGTTGAAAAGAATGGACTGGTTGGTACAACAGATCGATTTTTTTCTTAGGAATCTGTTAAATTGAAGGCCTGCTCGTTTTCGTGGAAGTCTGAACAATAGTGGTATATAGTACTTCGACAATGGTTTCCGGGTGCTATTCTTGCACCACGCGTACTAAGAATCGATCGACGTGTATTATTTCTTTACCCCGTTTCCACTATTTGCCTCTCGTTTTAGCTGCCTTTCCACCTCAATGGACCACGTCGTTTCGAAACTTTTCCACTCAGACTCGAAATACAATTTCTGTTTTTCCCTCCCTCCCTCTGGTGGAACGAAATCTCGATGGAAGAAAGGGGAAGAGAGAGAGAGAGAGGGATGGAAGGTGGAGAGAGAGAGAGAGGGGGGAAAGAAATTATAGACATCGCGAGGGACAATGGTTTCGAAATGGAAAATTGGCCAGTGATTCGAGATGGTACACGGTTAGTGCGTCACAGTGAAAAGTTGCTGTACCAATGCTGGCAACGGTGGTGGGGATATTTTGCGCATCATCCCCCTAATATCTGGAAAGCACCCTGACCCAGATACACGTACGTGCGGAACAACCGGACGCGGTCCTCTAGCAGGATCATCCGACATCAAATGAAAACCTCCGCGACACTCGCCATTCACTCTTCTCTCTCTCTCTCTCTCTGTGCACCGCTGTTTTGTAAGGACTCACCGTGACAAATCACCGAGTACCGACTGATATCGAGATGGATGCGCCCCGTCAATTTTATTCCAGCCGAACGGCAGTATCCGCTGCGTGAAATTTTTCGTGAAACACTCGATCGAACGATCGGATAACGAAACGGAATATCGAGAGATATTGAGGGATGAAATTTTCAGCGTGCGTCTATCTGACATGGATGTAGAAAACGTGTTTTTTGAATTTTCTTTATGGGCTCGGGTGGAAAAGTTGTTAAATGGGATCTTTGCACAATTTTGTAGGCGATTTGTACAAATTGAAATTTTTTTTAAATTTTTAGACACGTCGTCTAGTATGCTAATTCTTGTAACTTCTGAAACAAATTCAAGTCGTTTGGTTCGATTTTTAAAGGAGTTATAGTGCTCCAAAGAGTGAGTATTAGTGAGAGTCACTGTCGAGTGAGATTTTGGTCGAGATCTGATAAAAACAGTTACATCGGTAACAGAAATGAACTTTAATTTGTAAAACTGAAGATTGGCAAATTTAATTAATCTACAATACGTCAGCTTTTCTTACTTAATACAGTACTAAAACAGCAAATAGCCGACGCTTGGATGCACAGTCAGGAAAATAAATCATACGTCAAAGGGTTAAGTAAAATAATTTAACAGAAATGAACTTTAATTCCTTGCGTCGGGTACAGTTTTTTAATGTTAAAATATATTGAAAATTGTAGGTACAAAGTGCTCGATTTTCTCGTCAATATCTCGCTTCTAATTTTTAAAAATTTTTTGAAAGTTTGTTCCTGGATTTCTCTTCAAAATCGCAGAAAATCTGTCCACAGATCTTCTTATCACGTTGGACAGTGTTTCCGAATAATTCTGTTTTAGTTCATCCCAAAATGTCTGGTGTTAAACCTCATTAAAATACCAGCCATATCATTAAAAATATATTTCTTAAATATAATTATTATCAACTGAACGGTTCATACCGAAATAAGCAACTAAATCTTTCACCCAAACTTGATCCGTTCTAAGACATTAAAGTGTCCCATAACTTATGAACATGAACAGACGAACACTTTTATTTCGAGCAAATGGAAAAACTTGATAAAGCAAGTCTCGTCGAAGTAACATAAAATTCAAATTGGTCCAGGTTCTTTTCACTATTTTCCATGAATTATTACTCTACTCAGAACTGTTCCGTTATCAATGAAGATTCTAAAATAGAGACAGCTATCCGGTAAGTTATTTATGGAAGCAGTTCGAAGTGGAGTTAGAACCGATTAAACAGCTGAAAATTTCACGCTCGCCGGGGTTAACAGCATTATCGCGTGGAAATTGTGCAATCTCGATTCGATACAGCAGCAAATTTCTACTCGTTCCCATCGATGCCAAGAAGGCCGTCAAACATTCGATTAGTCAGCGATTTATTGCCTTCAATTTTCCCCGGTAATTGTCGATCTAGCGACACACTGTGTCGGTCCATCCAGATCAAATCTTCAGGAATAACCGATTTAACGAGCTTCGATGGAATCCCCGTAGAAACTAAATCGTGACATTTTTACTTTCGAAGGTCGCGAGTGAACGCGTACAATGGTCCAATAATCATTTTCGCGTAGAAAACACCAAAGTTGGTGGAAAAAGAACGTTGCAACGATTGGCAGTCATGCTCGAGATCCCCGGCATCCCACAACATGCTTGATCATTGCTTTCGATTTCTGCCCAGTTTGCTGCTGCACCTTTCGTCGAAAGCAATTCACCTCTTTCCGCGGTATCTTTTGATTTCGGTGTACAGTGAGTCGACATGATACCGTTCTTTCTCGTTTCCCTTCTGTGCCGGCTGCTCGTGTTCAGAAGAGGTAACTATCAGTCTTATTCATTATCTCGATAACAGCCTTTTTAACTCGTTAACCCTTTAACCTGTAACAAGACTCGTGGCAGAGACCCTGGTCCTAACGTGACAAAACTGGTTAACTTTCGTTCGAATTTGTAACACTGGAGATTGCTAAGTCTAATTAATCTGTAACAGATTAGCTTTTGTTACAGAGTTAAAAGAGTGAACGGCTAACGCTTAGATGCACAGTCAGAAAAGAAATCGTAGGTTAAGGGGTTAACTGATTTCTTCGTTTGTGTATTCACGAAACCAGTTGGTTGTCAACTTTCGACGATCTATCTGTTGCCTCGAGAATTGATCTCCTCCGAA